CATCCCAGCAATGCAGCTTAGGGATAGGACAGCAGGTTGGGGTGGTTTTAGAGGAGATCAAATTCTGCTTCTGGTCCCAGAAATGTCCCTGTGGTGCTCTGGTGAACAGACAGCTGAGAACAAATCGATGGTGGATAAGACTGTAAAGCAGATAAAAATAAAGCAAAGCTTTGCTGTTTTTTCTTAGATTCAGCCATAATTTATAGGGCATGTGACTAAAGTATTCATAATTACTCTCCATAAGTGTTTGGAATTTTCTGCATCAATTTTTGTATTGGCTGTAAGGAAATATAAAAATTATATAATTGTTGCTTCTAGTAGCTGAACTGTGACCAGGCTTCAGTCTACACACTTTACTGAGAAAAGAAGGGCTAAAAGTTTAATTGAACAGTTTGAACACTAACTTTTAAGACTGGGGATGTTGTTGTTTCATCAGCTTTTGGGGAAAAACACTTTTCTTGAAAGAGACAGACAGGTTTGGTGCTGTTCTCATTCATATTAAGTTAGTCAAGAGGTCACAGGCATTTTTTTTATATTCTTTAAAATGAAGGAACTTATTTGCTGTATTGAAACCTTTTCTCAGAGTTTATTGGGTTGTTGCCAGTTTCCTAACTAATCTCAAGCCATTGTTGCTAGTCCTTCTTGTTTTCAATCAGCCTCAATAATACAACAGAGCTGTTACGAAACACGCAGAGACTTTCCAACATGATCAGAAACATATCTGAACCATTAAAAGTGCCACGTACACATTAAAGCAAATGACTTCCTCAAAACAAGAAACCCAAAAAGCAGCCTGATGTCAGACAGAGTTATCAATTCCTTACACTCTGACCCTAATTTTTTGAAAGTGAGAAATATTCAGTGCATTCCACATTTTTTCAGTTTCACCTGCTTCCAAAGTGTATGGAGAAGAACAAGGGGCTAAAGAGGTTGAAGATGTAAAGTATTGCAGCCTGTGGCTTTTAGTGTCAGGAATATCACTGTATAACACTCCACTTAATGCATCCCTTCTCTAGTGATCAAATAAAACCTACACCCATCCATTCACACAGACTGAATATATAAATATTTTCTTGTTTTTTGTTTGTTTCTTTTTTGTGGTAAAAATGTTTTGTTATCTGTAAGTAATTCCTCTTTTCCTCTAAATGTCCAAGACTGGGTAGGTTTGATAAGATCAGAATATTTAAATTCTTCCATGGCTGTTTAGTTTACTTTTCCCTCATATTACTAAAAATCAATCTTCACAACAAAATCCCAGCAAGAAAAAAGTATGTTGAGCTATGTAAGCCAGTCAATTTGTTCATCACAAGAAAAGGGCATGTTTCTAGGAATAAGACCTTGTACTGTTGCTTGAGATCTCAGTAGGTCTAAGAGGGCAGAGGATTGAAACAGGATTCACTTTGGGATCAGATCATTAGGCTGTTCCAAATATACCAGAGTGAAGGACGAGATAAGAACTGAGTGACTGACAAACTCCTGCGATGTAAACATCAGACCTTATAGGACAGTGATATTAAAGTCATTTTAAACTGTGGGCCACAAACATACAGCCCATTTTGATCTGAAGTGAGCTGGACCAGTGAAACAGTATTTCTTAGTTTTTCTATATGATAAAGAAAAGCTGCAGTCATAGATCAAAGAAATGTGTCACTATGACTGTTTGGGCCTAAACTGTAAGAAATAAATGTGTAAAATTACAGAAAAGGTTCTGGTAGATCATTTCCCAGACTGTGCTGTAAAACAGAAAGGTTCTGTTCTTTACGGAAATAACAAAATCTATAGAGCAGAGAAAAAAAAAACAACACCTTCTCTGATATAAAATTGTCTCTGACACAAAAACACAGAGAATAGCAAAAGGGAAAAAGTATATATATAGAACAAAACAAAACAAAAAGGACACAAAAAGCGCTACACAGACACAAAAAAAAAAAAAAAAAAAAAAAAAAAAACATGATTTAAAATGGGGGAAAAAAGAAAGGAACAGTAGATAAAATCAGTAGTTAAAATGTAAGTTTTGAAATATAATTTGACGTATAATTAAGTCCAGATCCCAAATTGGATTTGGATTATAATTAAGTAACAAATATTATACATATACTATAAACTAACAGATATTGCACAAATACAGCAAATACTTTGGTGCAATATGAATGGCCATGGGAGAAGTTTATCAGCAAGAGAAACAGTTAAATTTATTAAAATACAGCGCAGTCCAAAATGTATGCCTTACTTCACATTTCCCAAAGCCGTCCAGTGGGCCAGATCAGGGACTGTAGCGGCCCAATTCTGGCTCCTCTGCCTTATATTTGATACCCTTGTTATAGGTTTTCATTTTGAAGTTTTGGAGTTTTCCTGTAAAGTGTTTCTGGTGCAGGTTTTTTTTGTGGGATAGACCCCATCGTGGTCCCTGCTGCGTTGCCTAGCCCTCCTGCAGAGAGAGCAGAGCACCAGCTGTCACTGTGCTAACAGTCTGACTATTATATGAGATTTAACAGCATCTTACTGTGTTTAGCTTCTTAGCCCAGTTTGACATCACTATGTCCATTTAACAGAGGCTGTTTGTGGGATACAAAGCCTTAGAAGCTGAACTCCATTACATCTTAGTTTAATTACAACACTCTTTAGTGATCTGATAAATGTTGGGGTTTGTGTGCTCCCAGACTTCATTCATTGCATTTCATTATCTATCAATGCAAAGTGTTTTTGATATTGAATGTATTATCACTAATGTCAGTAATGTAACTATTACATTCATTACAACTTACATGTTTGTACCATGTGATATTTGAACATCCCCAAAAAGGCCTCACTTGGACTTTGGATTTTTTAAAATTAATTAATTTCCGGTTAAGTGAAAAACTAACCCCTTAAGAAGCAAAAGGTTTTTGGTTTGGTTCCGTAAGGTTTTTTTTCTTGGGATAAGATATACTTTATTTATGAAAAAATACAATAGAAAAATGGGAGCAAAAATTACAAAAAATCATAATAAAATACGAAAAAAGAATAATTGTGTTAAAAAATGAAACATATGACAATAAAGTATGTAAAAAAGCAATGTACATTTACATTTATTTAGTGACAGATCAAATACTGTTTTCTGTGGCTCAAGATATAAAATGCAAGAACAATTAAAACCAAACACAGTGTATAAGTCATTTAGTATGAATTGGTTTAAATCTGCATTACTTCACTGAAATCCAGTACTGGTCATTTTGTGGAAAAATATCTTATTGACTTGATTACTATTCTTACCCATAAGTAGACTAATTTGCATCACAACTTAGGCCACCGAGGTTTGTTTGTGCCCTCTGTTTGCAGTTAGGTTCATCCATCTGCTTGCTCGGTGATAGAGCTATTAAAGGATTTAGATAAAGCTGATTTACTGCCTTCAGAGTCGGGCTGTAATTGAAGACGTGATTCATTCAGTGATGGGAGTTATACTTAGCAATGTGGATGTGTGTGGGGGGGGAGGTGGTGGAGTGGGGGTGTTCAGATCACAAAGAATGAACTGTAGCTAGCGCTGCCAGCAGCAGGTGTCACTAAGGAATATATTATCGTATATAGTAATATGAAAATGATCTTAATCGTCAACATGTCTATCTACAGGTGGTCTGTAGTGGTACAACTGAATCATTTGACCACCCACTCAATTCATCAATGGGCTTTGATCAGTGGTTGTTGATCAATGGTCATAGAAACTTGCATATTAATGCTCAAGGAACTGACCTCACAGTCCATTGTTCATTGAATGGGCTAGTTTCAGTCATTGTCCAAGTGTACTGTTTAGGTTGAGGAAACCTGCAGTCAGCTGAGACTGAAGAAGTCACTTGGATGAGTGATGAAACATTTCTCCACTGAAAACGCTACGCGCAGATGAACAGAATCAACCTTTTGGGATTTACTTACCTGGATGACTAAGCATGCATCAAGACATTTTTTCAGTGTTTTTATTACTGCTAATTTCTGCAATTATGTCATTCACCAAAAACAATTCCTTTACATTTATAGCAGACAAAAAACACTTCTTCAGAGCCATGGTATAGAGGACCTGCTTTGTATGTTTTGTCTCAGTGTAAGGAGTATAAATATATAACCCCAATTTACCACTTGACTGCCTCCATCTCCTCCTGTTTGCAGTGTCCTTCTCTGTCACACCAACCCCTGCATGTGCTTACTCCCATGAACCTTCTCTGTGCTGTTCCTATTTTTCTCCTGCCTGGAAGCTCCTTCTTCAAAATCCTTTGCATAGTATATCCAACATCTGCCCTCAGCTCATGCTCAAACCATCTCAGCCTGAGGTGTTCCTTTAATCTCATCAATTCTAATGTCGAATGGAAAAGAAATAAACTTTTTCCTTCATTCCTCAGGCATCCTCTGTCTGGTTAAAAAGTCCCATGTTCTCTCTCCTTGACATCACCATTCCTTTACAGGTAAGTCACTGGACCAACTGCCTTTTCACTCTTAATTTTCTTCATAGCTCCCTTCATTTCCTCCTTACCAGTCCTATGCACTTCCTTATTATCTTTCTTTCTATCTGTCCTCCTCTCTCACTCATTTTCTTCAGTCATCTGCCTCTTGCTAAAATTGCTTATTTCAGCCCAGTATGTGCAAAACATACAAAGTTAATTTGCACAAAAACAACAATCAAACAAAAGAACTTTTTGGATTTTACCCAAGGTTCCTGCCAATGTACATCTTACAGCTTATTTAGAAAAAAAAAATACACCAAACAAACAAAGAAGTTTAGCTTTTTTTTTTATATTCTTGCATTTTAATATATGGTTCATTTTAATCAATTACATATCCTGTCATAGGTCTTTCGTGTATTCGTAGTATTTTAAATTTTGCAGCTGTATCTCTTATCTTAGATCAGAAGTGTTTCTGAGCCAGTTCAAGTACAATCTGAAAACACCCAGCTGAGCCACTACCAAGATCTTAAGAAAGATGAAACCAATCTGGTATCAAAACGATGAGCATTGAATTTCTGCTACTGAAACACTGTGATAACCACTGACTTCATCGCTTGCACTTTACAGTGTGTTGAACTACACCTGTTGTCAGCCTGTGTCTGGGTTTGGCCACTGGGCCATGTTTGACACCTCTTACTTAGATTATTATCTGTATAAAGCACTTTGTGACTTCTATTTTTGAAAACTGCTACATAAATAAATATTTTTTTTAAAATCTCATAAACATCTCTTATAGTTTAGGTTTATAATTAGGTTTACTAGCTTTGAATGTTTTGCATTAACTAGGTTATGCTGTGACTTAGCAGGTCTAATGTTTGACTTTGGATCTCATAATTTTGATTTTAAAAGCTTTGATTTGAAAAGAAAAATCTCTTCTATCATGTTTTATGTCTTTTTTAAAAATTTCTTTTTATGTCTGTGTGCAAACCATTTGGAAAAATTAGACCAAATATTAAAAACAACTACGTAATTATTTGTTTATTGATTTTATATGGATTATTTAATACGGCATGTAGAAGTCAGCTCAGGGACATTTGTGCGTGATGACGTTGCACAAAGAACGTAATACGTTGCTCCTGAAATGCTAATTGGAAGCTAAGTGGCTACTTTCTGCACCCCCCTTGTCTCCTGTTGTTACCTGCGGACAAGCTGGCCTGAAATACCATTAAACATATTTAGGAAACCGTTAACATTCTTCAGAGCATCTCGGTGTCCGGTGTCGGGCCGTAGCTATGGCTCTGCAAGGCCCGGAGGAGCTGGGGGAGCCGGTCGAAGAGTCGGAGGATCTGGACGACCAGGACGCTAGCAGCATCTCCCCGGCGGAGGAGATAACGCTACCCCCCGGGCCTGGAGGCGACGAGGAGACGGAGGAGGCTCTTCTGCTCCCCTGGGACCGTTTCTCCGCCTGGCTGCACTGCATTTGTGTGGTCGGCTTCGACCTGGAGCTCGGACAGGCGGTGGAGGTGAGACAAAAGTATCCGCCGGGGACAGCGGGGTCATGTTAAACTCAGTGAGGCTACAAATGTCTAAGTTAGCAGTTTTTTAGGCTTGGGCTAATTCTTGGAGGGGAGTGAACAAATCACTTTCATTAGCTGCTTTCATTTTGCCACTCTTTGATTTAACAATGATTACACGAGTACACACACGCTTCACAAAACTAGCAGAACATTTTACTGTAGGATCACTTTATGACAATGCCGAGCTTACGGGGAAGCGTGTTTGGTGTCCTTAGCTGAAGTTAGTCTGTCCCAGCAGCCACTGCATCACTCAGGCTATAACTTCAAATGGACGTATTTTGCAGAAAGTTGTATATTTAAAAAACAACAACAAAACAAAACAAAAAAATAATTCAACTTAAAACGGTACCCAAATGTTTGAATCCTACTGAAGTCACCAAGGCCAAAAAAAATCCCCAACACCTGTTGACCTCACAGGAGTTATAGAAACACACATTAATCAGTTACCTGATAACAATGTTTAAATGAAAAACAACTATGCAGATTCAGACTTCTTCAGGTCTTTCTGTTTCACTTTCTCCAGGGGACTGAGCCACACTAAGACTACAAAGCATTTCATCATTTTGATTTACTAATTGGATATAGTACTTAGTACGGTAAATTCATCAGCAGTACTATCAGCAGTGCAGCACATGGATCAGTATATATTTGTTTGTTTGTTTTTTAATTGTGTATATCAAAATTTGACTTTATTTGAATTAGGAGTGGGGGGAAATCAATACAGCATAGTATCATGATACTGTAATGATATAGGAATACCAGATACTGATTTTTAAATTAAATATTTAAAATACTCTGGGAGTACTACGAACAAGATGGCTCATCTCATGCTTCACCATGCTGAGGTAACATTAGCTGAACAAACTTAACATTAAACTGGTTCAACCAAAACCACTGGACACACTTAGCTTGACAAAACTAAGCAGTTCAGGAGGCAACCTTTCGGCAGACAGTTGCAGTCTGACTTGGACTGACTAAAAACTGCTGTCAGAGAGACTGTCAAAGGTTTGTAAATAATTGCTGTCTAATTTATAAATGCAGAATGATTGCCAAGATGCTGCTGTTGCTCTGAATGAGTCGTTGTCAACGAGCACAACTGGAAGGGACTCAACTCAACTAGGTGCTAGCTGGTTAAGCGCAAATATAATAGTTGAATATTAATTTCTGTCTAGGTAGACATTAATAGATGTGATTTTTGATGGTGTATAACAGTTAATTGCGCATTATCAGAAACAGATTGCATGTAATTGCCAACTTGACCTCATTCAATCACAGACTGATAGCAGGCTTACTCTGACTTACAGCAACATTTGTGAGTGGTTCTAATGACCATTTTGGTGTAGTTGAAGATAACGTTATCTTATTCAATAAAATATAAATATTGACAAAGTTTAACTTAAGGAGATAATTTGCTGTTTTTAAAAAAAGGTTATAATTCGCAATATATGTTGTGAAAATGCAGCATATCACAAAATGTTAAAAATAGCAACAGTATCATATTTTGAGAGAAATATTTTGATAATATTGTATCGAGGGGTGTCTGGTGATTCCCACCTCTAACTTGACTATAGATAAAGTTCAATATTAAACTTTTAGATAAATGCAAGATACATTTTTTTAACTGGGCAAATATTAACAAACTTTGCCATGAAAAACTGAAAAGACTATAAAAGTTTTGTGTTAAAATGTTTAATAAAACATTTTGAAAACAAATCTCAACACAAGTATTAAACCAAAATGTTGTCATTGATACATTTCTAGTTTGAAAAATATAAACACTGTAGATTGTTTTTATACTAAAGGAAATCTAAAATTGTAAAAGTACAGCTATTTTTTTAAGTGCTTTAAAGGAACACTTAGAACTACAAAAAATGTATGTATTGTATAAACAATTAACATTATTCAGTAGTTTAAAAAATAATTTGATTGAATTTGCTCACTTCTGTGTGTGTTTGTGGGTTTTTATTGGGTTGTATTTATTTATTTATTTATTTTTATGGTGAAATAAATCTTCATCGTAAAACATAATTTAACTTTTCTGTTTTAGTTTTTATCTTTGTCTCTCAGTCACATTAAAATCAGTTTATAACATCTTTGCATTGTATTACAGTTTTCCAGTTCTTTTTACAGTTTAACAACATAAGCACAGCACAGCACAGCACATAAAAGAGGCTGACCAAAGTTTTCAGTTAACCAACTTCTTTGGTTAAAGTGTTGTTGTTGTTTTTCTCTTCCAGGTCATTTATCCTCATCATTCCAAACTGTCGGAGAAAGAGGTGAGTTACACTGAATGGGCGGGAATTTTTTTTTATTCTTTATTTTATTTTTTTAAAGAAAGGTTTGTTTTTGGAACATTTATCGACATGTTAAAAAGCATCACATGTTGATGGATTGATTCACAAAGGCCCATTCTGAGGCAGGAAAAGCCTAGAATGGGTATGTAAACCTGAGCTGATGTAATAAAAGAGGTAAGGACATAAACTAAATATTTGCTGTTCTTTCAGAAAACAAGCATCTGCTACCTTTCATTCCCTGACTCCAACTCAGGTGAGTTTGTGTTTCAGCCTTTTTCTCTTATCTCATATCCACCAAACTGGGGCTGGAGCTGGTTCTAATGCAAATCAAGATCCAGTTTCGCCTCGTTGCTTTTTCAGAACCATTCTACAGTTTGACAGGCTTGATGACATAATTAAGTACCGTTATTGGCACATATGTTAGTGAACCAAAGCATGGCGGAGAAAATATGTGGCCTGAACTAGGTCATCTAAAAAGGACAAATACACGCACATCCTCATCGCGCATTGCACGTTTTTTGATTTGCAAACAAGATAATATACAAAATAGGCACTCTTTCTGCACTTCTGAAGTCATGAGAGACACACGTTACATTATTGGAAAAGACCTAGTTTATACAAGGTGTTGGCTGTAATGCTAGGTGCAGCTCTTTCCAACTCTGTGTGGGATGTGTATAAAAATGGTTGTAATTCCTAAACAGTCATTCCTGTAGTTAATGCAATACTCCTTCTAAATACTTTGGATTAAAACTGAGAGTCTACACTTCAGTCACATCTTGATTGTTTGAAATCCACTGCATAGGTCGATAAATATTTGGAGAAGTAACTGTAGGTGGATGGATATCAGCTAAAAAGCATTAAGTCATAAAAATTTTTACTTATTCTTTTTTTTTCTTTCTTTTTTTTGGTAACGTCAGTATTTTTTTCACTGATACTCTTAGATTTTTTTAAAATTACTAAAATATTAAACGTAAGATAGATTAGGGTATAGTGGTTAGCACTCTCACCACACACCCATGTACAAACACCACTGTGGCTTTGTGTGTTTGCCCGCAGGTGTGTGTTTTAGTTTACTGAGTCAGAGGGGGGTGAAGCTAAAGGAACCTGCTGCCCTCAGTTTGAAGACAGGATTAGGACAGACTGCTTACAGGGCTGCTATATATATATCTCACTGTAGGTGTTTGTCAGAGAGAAAGGGGGAGAGAGACATTAAACTGAGGAACTGCAGCTCTCTTTCTCTCTGTGTGTGTCGTCCATAATTTAGCCTTACATCCTGAACAGATTTGGCATCATTTGTCGTTAATCCACTTTGGGAATTTAGAATAAATGGTGACAGATGAATTTATTTTTTTTTGTGCTCTTTATTTGGAAAGTGCTGACTCTTTATGTGTCTCATACCCAATAGAGCTTTATAAAACAAGTTGTTGTGCATAAATAAATAGGCCAGTAATCGAATCAGATGTAAGGTTGCTCTACATTTGTGCGACTACCTCCATCCGTTTCCTTCAAGCTGAGCAAGCAGCAATTTAAGTGGAGATGCTCAGACGTGCCTCTTCTTCATCTCTACTGGGGGAGGGGGTAAAAAGTCAAGTCATTTGTAAAAACTTATTTAATTCTGATGCTGCCTGTCCTGTGAACTCTACATGGCATTGGTCAACTTGTTGTTAAAAGAGGACTGATGTGATTTGTGGAAAATAAAGCAAAGAGCTTTAAAGTCTTTCTTTAAGTACACAGAAGTATTCGAACTGTGTTTGCTCTTCTCAGGTTTGTAGGTGACATGTTTGAGTGACTAGAAACTCAAAATTAATTCAGAGCTGTGGTTAAGCTGTGGTCAGGCAGCAGTGCCCTGTTTTCATGCTGTGTGGTCTTGAATGCAACCCGACTGAATGATGTCATGGAGTCTTGGCTATGCTTTTTTGGCGCTCCTGGTAGTGTGTGCTTATGTATGCGTGACTTATGAAGTGGAATGCTTTTAAGTCTACCAGCCTGAGCTGAAGTGTTTGTCTTTCATTGAATGTCCTAAAGCTCATTTTCTCTGTCTAAGGATGTGTTGACCTCCTGCTGAGGTTAACTTCTGGTTCATGGCTTATGCAGGACTTCCTGTTTCCTTTTTTCTTCCGTTTTCCTCTTCCTGTTTGTCTAAAAGACCAGAGGATGCAGGCTAGAAGAGCTGACCAGTGCTCATCGACGTCACATTTTTCTGCAGCGTACATTTTTTAATTCTTTATTTTTAAAAGTGTGCACAATGCAGATGTGTACAGAAATAGGTTGTGGTGGATTTATGATCACACTTATAATCTTAGTTTAAAGTTAGCTGAGGACAGTGCAGTTTTTCTTCTTCAGAACAAATTAAGTTGTATATTATTTTCATACACAAGTGACTTGGGTTTAAGAATAATTTAGTACAAGTTTTTGAATGTTCCTAAAGTTTTGTAGCGGTCCTTTGCTAATGTGTCTTTATGAAGTGATTTTTATTTTTTTCCCAGCTTATGTATATTTTGGTTCTATATGCTAGTCTGAGCTTAGAAAATACTGGAATATGCATCTATATTTATATGTATTCACCATGTTTATCTGCATAGTGTTTGGAAGCTGTGATAAGCTGGGCTTTTAATGAAATCCTCCTATAAACACTGCAGCCATCTTGGATTAAATCCGGGTGGCTGTCTGGATATTTTATAAACAAAAGTTTATTTAAGCTTAATTAAATTAAACCCCATGCATCACCACAAAAACATGATTGGTTTCCTGTGTTTGCTGATTTCCCCCCATATGTTTTTATTCAGGTCTTAAAATGTGTCTTGTTTACTGTGTGTGACAATCGGTCATTGCTCTGCCCTCTTTTTCCAGGTTGCCTTGGTGACACACAGTTCTGCTTCCGGTTCCGGCAAGGTTCCAACAGGAAGACATCACTTGGCTGCTTCTTGGAAACCACTGACAGAGACGCGCCACCTTGTCTGAAGGTTAGGCACCGCTCATTAACACACACACACAGCTCTGTAGGCACATAAACTGCACAGTGTAGAGTTTTGTGTGCTGAGAGTAAAATAAGAATCTGTGAACTGATAATTTGCTGTGTGTGTTACAGAGGGAGCAGGGCCATTACTACGGTTATGTGTACTTCCGTCAGGTGCGAGACAAATCTTTGAAGAGAGGATACTTCCAGAAGGTCAGTGTCATACTGCAGGAGGACTAAATACAGCCAGTGATAGAAAACTTAAGCATGAACAAGGATCCAGCACACAATGCACTGTGTTAAAAAATTTGAGAGAGATTATGCTTCCTGTTACCACAATAGGACTTATAATGGTTTTAAGCTATTTTTTTTTCCACATTTCAGAGATTAAATGGTTTCAGCAACACCTCTTGGTTATGATTTTAGGCTTACAATAGTAGTACTCCCACTTCAGGCAAGGTTACATTGCGATTAACTGTATTAGCGCTCTCTTTGATAGAAAAACCGCATGCATGTTAAATTTGATATATATAATTATCTAAAATGATTTATTTTTACCACACGCTATTTCAAAAGGCTTTTGCATCTCACTCCTCCCATCTGATCACTGAAAAAATGCCAAATTAATTCACCTTATGTTTATTTGGCACCTTCCTTAATAGAATGATGATGTGATAGATGGATTTAATGTGGTGCAAATGTAACATTATACTTTATCATGACCGCAGGTATATAGAGGGTTAAAATAAGAAACAAAGGCCCATGTCGAGGATACACTAGTTCAAGCTTTGGGTTTGATTCTCAGTTTTTATTTGCAGTTTAAAAACCATAAGACATTTATTTGTTCCAGGTCTTTGTTTTGTGACACTTTTGAGATTTCTTGTAGTTTTCTGCTTTTGCTAGCTGATGCTCTTTGGGGTTTAATCTATTACTAGACAAAATGAGGGATTGTCGGCTCACTATATTCTGACATCTTTCAGACAAAATCAAAATCAAACCACTAAAAAAAATTACATACTGATGAAATGTCTGAAAATACAATTCCCTTTTTTTTTCTTTCTTTCTTGCTGTGCCTGTCTCTTTCCAGTCTCTTGTCTTGATCAGTCAGCTGCCCTATGTGACCTTCTTCCACTCGCTGCTGAAGATTATGGCTCCTGAATACTTTGAGAAACAGGAGCCCTGCCTGGAGGCTGGTCAGTTTGATTACCTGTCTGTATGTAATCATTTGTGTAATCCTGTCTCAGCTCCGTGTGGTCCAGAAGAGTTAACTACACAGTCCTTAGTTCACACTTTTACAGTGCTTTCACATCCTAGTTACATCTAGTTTCAGCATTTTTATTTTTATGGCACAACGTATCAGCTTGGCAGCAGGTCCCCTGTACTGAGACTTTTGCAAAAACAAAATAACCAAGAAAACCAAGAAAGTATTGTGGATAAGTGTGTTTTCACACCTTTGGTGTTTAGTCCATTTAGTTCACAGTAATTGGACTTAAGTATAGACCAAAACAGCTGCACCGTGACCCTTTGAAGGAATAAACCCGAGAGTTGTTTGTTTATGGAGTGATGTTATTAGACCATGATCCGAACGAAATACAAGGTGTATGTTACAAATAACGTAAATAAATAAAGATAAAAAAATGTCCCATAACCACATATGCTTTGTATTCTCAATGTGGGAAGGTCCTGCAGATGTGCAAAGGTCTGTAGGGGCTAGCAGCTAGATGTGAAATGAATGTAAATTCTCCATGTTCTCCAGTGGTCCAGAATACAGCACCTTCTTCCTGTATTTACTTTTGTTGCTCCACTCATTGCTCCTGGCCAGTGAGTTGATTCATATGGGCTCAAATTGTGGTCATAAATATTTTGTACTTGTAAATCAGTTTTGTATGTGTAAAAAATTTGTGTGTGTGTAAAAAAGATTTGTGTGTGGACTTAGCCAAAAGATACATGTGAAACTCTGCACTCAAGTTTCAAGTTACAAGTACGAATTTTGACCCCGTTTTCCTTCCTTTCATCTGATTGGCCAATGTCATGTCAATCACAAATTTAACTATCCAATCAGAGAACAGGTGGGTTTGGCTATTGGAGGGGTGCTTTATGGAGCTTCAGGTCCTTGAAGGGAATAAATGCCCTTTTACATGCCAGCCCAGTGTTTTCCTTCATCAACATGAAGGAAAACAGTCTGTGGTGGTGTCAGTTTGGTGATTTTTGTGTCTGTATTACGTGCGTAATACAGGGACCCCCAGGGCCTTTTCAACAGCGCTACGGACCTGGGGGGGGGGGAAGAATGTGGAAATAGTTACAAAGCTTTCTTCGTTATGAATGAGCATACATGTTTTTATTGAATATTTGAAGAACCAGCAAAAAAAACAGAAACTCTTGTAGAGTACATAAAGTCAGAAATAGAAACGACAAGGAGTAGGTGCATCTAGTACAGGTAGAGCTGCTGCAAAAACCCACAGAGCTCAGCAGCCAGCACAACAAATTCTGGATCCTTGGCTTTTAGTTAGCGGTTAGCATTAGCAGCACATGCTGCGTCCGATGTGAAAGTACCTTTATGCTGCACACTGTGACTCACAGCCATGGTCGCGGGTCAGCCCTGACTTTGTGTTAAACTAATCCTAAAGTAATAATGGTATTTCTAACCACTGATATACCACAACTTTATCCTTTCAAGAGCTACTGAAAGTTAGGGGACCTAACTGCTATCGGATATTTACATAGAGATCCTCCAGCTTCAAACTGTATTACCCTTCAAGGACCTGCAGTTCAAAAAAGCACCCCTCCGACAGCCAAACCCATCTGTTCTCTGATTGGATAGTTAAATTTGTGATTGACATGACATTGGCCAATCAGATGAAAGGAAGAAAAACGGGGTCAAAATTCGTACTTGTAACTTGAAACTTGAGTGCAGAGTTTCACATGTATTTTTTGGCTAAGTCCACACACAAATCTGTTTTACACACACACAAATCTTTTTTACATACACACAAATTCTTTTTACACATACAAATCTTGATTTACAAGTACAAAATATTTATGACCACAATTTGAGCCCATAGACTCACATGGTTTGTAGTGATGCATTTTGGCTTGCTTAGAGTTCCTTATGTGAAAAAACCACACCAAACCAAACAATGTGAAAAAAGTTCAAAACTAAGTTCACGAACTCATCAGCTGATTTGGACCAGAGTATATGAACTATAAATGGAGACAGTGTGGACTAAAAGAGGGGTTGTCCTGTTGGGCACTCCCACCTCTCAGGTGCAGCCACTTTTTTGATGACCTTCCCAGACTGCTCCTAAAGTAATCAGGAAGGTGTGGGAGCCTTGGAGGGTCGGCCAACCCACTGTTTTACCCATGTCTAATTGGAAACTATTTATAGGGATTGTAGATTCTAGTTGATTATAGATTAATACCGACCAGTATAAGGCAATGATGCCATCTTTAATTTGGTAAGGGATGATCCCCTTATTTTGAAAGTTTGATTGCACGAAGGAATTGTAAATCACAAGTGGTTTGCCAAGTCAGAAAGCAGTGACTGTAGCTGCTGACCAGTCTCCATGATTGTGAACTTGTCTTGCCACAGAAGTAGAAGAATATCAGAGAGGCAGCCAATTATTTCTGTATACTTAAATAAATCCCTTTTTCTGTTTTCAGAGAAGATCCTTTTTAATTCAAAATTGTTGTTGTGTTTGATAGCTTGTAATGACATCGATCGCTGGCCAACGCCTCATCCTGGACGAATCCTGACGCTGCCTATCATGGGTGTAGTCCTCAAGGTACACTCACGCACTAAGTTGAAACCAGCAGATGTTTAGTTTTGACATGTCGTGACAGGTAAAGAACAGGTCTAATTAATAACTTTAAAGATGGCTCGATTCAATTTCCCACGATAGACAAATATTTGTTTAATCAGGCAGTCTTGTTCAGGTAGAACATGAATCCTTCGCAGTCAGCAGTAACCTGTACTTTAAAGCAGCATTTAGGGGCTTAGTGAGGTAACTTCAATGTTTTTAATGTTATGGAGTTGGTTCACTACTTCTGTGTCCTTCATGTCTTTTATTTTGTTTTAAAGAGTACAAATTGGTACAGTTCTGGGACTGAAGGCTGGGTTTAGTTAAGTTTATCACTTTAATGAGTGTTTTAATACATTTGTATTTAAAAAAATAAAATAAAAATCTGATTTCAAAGTGCTTTAATTCAGCAGTCGTTCACTGTTAATGATCAAAACGTGTTATTAGAGTGGGTCTTTGAATTTTACGTGGTTGCTTGTAGGGAGCATAACAACAGCAGTGGCTACAATGACTCCAGACATGCTCGTAAAAGTATGAAACGAGTTTGATTATTGTAAGGAGGAATGTTGTAAGTCTAGGGTAGGGTTGTAACTAAAGATTATTTTTCTTCAATTACTCGATTAGACAACGACTATTTCAGTAACTCTTATCTCCGCTTCCTGTGGGCAGACCTTCTGTTCTATACTCCATCACCGTGTTGTCTTGTCACACAGCAAATTAAAATAAAAACCCAGGAAGCATATGAATTTGAAAATAATCAAATGTATTTCTAACATTTCTCAATATGACAGAGTAAAAATGAAATAAATAATATTATTTAAGTAATACAAATTAAAGTGCTAGTTAGGGATGCACCGATACCACTTTTTTGGGAACGAGTACGAGTACTTGCATTTCAGTACTCGCCGATACCGATACCGAGTACTTAATCTAAAAACAAGGGACTAGTTTGGAATTAAGAACATTTATTTAAAATGAAAAGCATGTTGTATGCAACATATTACAGAATAAATAATTATAAAAAAACAAAATTTAATTTTAAATTTGTTCGTCTGTTTCTCTGTTTAGAAGTCTCACTAGCACAGTCACAGCTGGGATGACATCAGAGGCTAGTGCGTCGTAGCTGCTCACTTTTTTAGTTAGTTCCTCAAAGGGGGCGAGGATGGCAACAGTCATCTCCATAAGAGCCCATTGGTGAGCAGTGAGATAGTCAGGGAGTTCATGCTCGGACACATACACGCCCAGCCCTCGCTTTTGCTCAATGAGAGACTGGAGCATGTAATACGTGCTGTTCCAGCGCGTCTGTACGTCCTGCTGCAGTCTCTTTATTGGCTGGTTGAGCTGTCCCTGAATTTCCTCGAGGCGGGAGTAGGCTAAGGCGGAATGTTTAAAATGCCCAACTATTTTCCGTCCCACTGCTATAGCATCAGCTATGCTCCTCTGTGCTAATAAGCATGGGTAAATAAGCGTGGGTAAACTCTTTGTATTCGTTGTTGTGTTTTAGGTGCTTGATTAAATTGTTTGTGTTAAATGCGCTACCTTTTGAGCCTCCTCTGGACAATTTCGCTGAGCACAATTTGCAGTCCGCCTTTGTTTTCGCGTCTTGTTCACTTTGAAATAGTTCCACACGGCTGATATGTCTCGCCTTCTCCCCGTTCTGAGCTGCAGCCGGGGCCTGGGGGCGGGCACTCGGCACCTGTGATTAACCCCTTACATGCCGCTCAAACATAGACAGGTCTCAGACCGTGGTATCGGTCCCCGGTATCGGGGGACCAAGTACGAGTACTTTAGAAAATGTGGTATCGAGGCCGATACCCGATACCGGTATCGGTATTGGTGCATCCCTAGTGCTAGTAGTATTTAAACAAAAAAATAACTGCAAACAAGAAACTAAAAATAGTTTCTGTCTAAAAGTTCAAATAAACTTCAAATCAAAAAGATTTTTTCCAGTCCAAAAAGACAAGTTTCCAAAGTTTACAGATGATTCAGTTCATAAATTTACGATTGCACTAAACATAATGTGGAGTGAGGTTTGCTCTTATCTTTGAGATGATGTTCCCAACTGCTGCTAAAGATGCACTCTTTCATGACTTCAGCCATGTAAGAGTTGCATGATCCTCTTTTCAGGACAAACTCTCCCATATGCCTGTGGATAATACTAGTAAGAAGGACCTAAACAGAATTAGAAAAGGCCGTTACTAATTACAAATGTGGTTGTCTATCATTGTTTCTCTGATGAAAATCTGTGCTATGTGCTGCAGGTTCGCATCCCAACCTCTTATGATAAACCAGGAACGTCACAACTGGTCCAATCCGCCCAGGTGATCTTACACTCGCGTGTGCACAAACACTCATTGTCTGTTTGTATGATGTCTGTGATGACACACTGAGCATTATGTGAATATTAAACCTCAAAGTGTGTTTTTGTGTTTTAGAGTGATAGCATGGTGTCCATTGTGCTCCCAACAATTCATGAAGTGGACCTCTTCAGGTGAGTCCTGCAGGTCAAGGCTGATGTAGACTAAATCTTTATAGAGCCTAAGATGCAACCTATGTTACATAATAGTCTCATTGCCACATTGAAGCTTGTGATTGGTGTTAATTAGCTTGTTGTCATGTCCCAGTCTGTCTTTTCGTGCAAGTCTTGGTCGCCGGCATCCATCCATTCTCTTCTGCTTATCAGGGTGCTAGAGTATATCCCAGCTGTCATTCACACCTATAGAATCATCAATTAACCTAACCTCAATAATTGCATCTCTTTGCACTGTGGGAGGAACTTCAGGCAGCCACCGTCCTCCCAGATGGTGGAGTCGAACTCGGGACCTTCTTTCTGCACCGTGCTGCCAGCATATTTTATGTATTTTACCATTATTGTTGTGTGACAATGTCTAGATTGGATTAGTGTTATTTATATGTTAGGATTGTTTAGGTAATTTTTGGATATTTTTAGTGACTCGCTTTGGTATGATAATGTATGTTGGGATTGTATTTGGTGTATGTTATCTGATGTTTGGGCCCCTATTTTATAAGTCGAGAAAGGCAATCTCCATCCATTTGTTACAAATGTGTGTCATTATACTGCTGATCATCATAACTTACACCGAGGTAATAATTGTTATGCTCTCACTGATCTGTTTGAAACCTGGTGTGTGGCACTGAACGAGCCAGTCGGCTGCAGACTGCATCGGTGTGAATTTCCAGGGACATACACGTCAGGTTAAGGTGTAACGTGTACCTACAGGGTAGATTTAACACAGAAATTTAAATCCTCTGTCACAGTGTTCTTCATGCTTCGGACATGTTTTGTCCCCACCTGCTGCTTAATCATGGTACTGTCACTGAATCAAGAACAATATCACTTGATGCTTCAGCTGAGAACTGCTTATCAAAAAGAAAAACACAGAGAAAGTGAAGACAGGCCTTTCGCAAGGGGGGTTGATTTCAGTGTTTAGTTGGCGTCTCTGAAAACTTGCTTCTACCCTGTGTCTCTGTGGGGGAGGTGCAGACAAAATGAATAGTCATGCCCATTATTAAAAGGTCAGAGTTACTGTTTTAGGTGCTCTGCTGTGTAAATCAGCATATTCTGTATTCAGGTAAAAAAGAATATTAATCACCCAGCTTGGTGGTTGTGCTCCTGACCAAATCTGCTTAAACCTTTTAAGACTTTCAGGTTCTGAGGTAAATTAATAAATTTGAAATCTAGCAGTTCAACAAGTTTCGACCTGAGAATGTAACACAGGCATGTGTCTTTGACGTTGCCAAAATTGATTTGGTTTGAAATTGGCTTGCAAACAGTGGGAAAGAGACTTACTCCATTCATTGTCGTTCTCCCCCCCTCCCAGGTGTTTCTATCCAGTCTTCTTCCATCTCCAGATGCTTTGGGAGTTGGTGTTGCTGGGGGAGGCACTTGTTGTCATGGCGCCATCACCAGCCGAGTCATCTGATACTGTGCTAGCTTTGGTCAGGTAAGTTAGCAGCGGTTATTGTGCCAGGATAATATATTGACCAGTACTTAACAACAAACCCAAAGCTAATTTTTATATAATTTTGTGTCTTCATGTTCAGGAAAATTTGATGTATGACACCTAGACATATCTTCCTGTTATAAATGTGTTATAAAGTGTAATTTATAGTCCAGCAAATGAGTCTGTCTACATATGTTTCTGTTTGTACAGTGATCAGACAGGTGTTTTTCATCCAACGCACACTGTCATATGCGTCAGTGAAATGCTGATTTGTTTAAAATGCAAAAATGATTTTTGGCCTGGAATAGGCCAAGCGTATTATATTTAAAATGTGAATACTTGAGATCTCTACAAAATAAGTGTGATTTTATTCATTTAAAAAAAGCCCAACTTAATCCTGTCACCTTCACATGTTTTATGTTAAACAGTCACAAAAATGCCAGATGTACCAAAACTTATAAAAATTCAAATTCAAATATTAAGACTGACATTTACTTTCTTCTTCTTTTTGTTGTTTTTAATTTGTCAGAAGGTTCAGTAAACACTCTAGTTGAAAAATGTTAGAAAATGTTTTAATGGTTTTTTTCCCCTCTGCAGCTGCATTGCTCCTCTGCGTTACTGCAGTGATTTCCGGCCGTACTTCACCATTCATGACAGTGAGTTTAAGGAGTACACCACCAGGACGCAGGCTCCGTAAGTAAAAATAAAATGACGCCATGCTGTTGTGTCATTGGTATTAGTAGCTGGGATAAATTTGTGGACAGTGGAGCGATCAGCTGGTGAAGATTCTGTTGCCACGAGTAGATTTGTAGAACAAAAAGTATCTATTTCACCTTCAAATAAATCAAAATGAGCAAGGAAAATAAATCAATTTAATCATGCAATAAAGTCCCTAAAATAATTTTAAATATAGCAACAGGAGCTGCTGGAACAGGCTGCCACTCCATACAGCAGTTTGAAAAAAGTGATGATAAGGCGTGGTCATTCAGGATGTTTTAAATTCTAATTTAAAAGGGAGCCAATGAACAGAAGCTACTTTGTTAGAAATTTGAGTGTTGAAAATTGTTTTTTGCTTATTGGTGTTAAAAGTATTTAATCTGTGTTTTCGCAGGCCGTCAGTCATTCTAGGAGTGACCAATCCTTTTTTTGCAAAAACTCTGCAGCACTGGCCGCACATCATCCGCATCGGAGACATGAAACAAGCAGGTAAACGTTACAGCTTCAGCAAACTGAGACATACAGGGTCTCAAACCTGTTCAAAAAGATGTCTCTGTGCAAAAAGTGTGTTAATGAAGTAGGTAATGATGTATTGGAAATGGAGGAGAAATATCAACCTGGCTGATCACTCTTTTCACCACCTGGCACTCACAGGAGAGATGGCCAAGCAGATGAAAGTCAAGAAACTGAAAAACCTCAAAACTCTGGACTCTAAACCCGGTAGATATTTCACATCCCCCTTTTATTCTATTTATTTTTCTGTATTATGAAGATTTTTTACTTTTTTTAATATTACATGAAATCTCTCTCTCTCTCTCTCTCTCTCTCTCTCTCTCTCTCTCTCTCTCACACACACTCACACACACACCGACAAATTGTGCAAGAGGTCCCGCAATAACTAAAAAACAGTCTGATAAATGTGTGTGTGTGTGTTCTGTAGGTGTGTACACTGCATATAAACCATATCTCAACAAAGATGAAGAAATCATCAAACAGCTTCAGAAGGTGAGATATTTCCCATTTTTAAGCATCCCCTTATTCATTGTTGAAAATATGAAATATTTTTATGTATTTTCTTGTTTTGCAGGGTGTTCAACAGAAGAGACCCTCTGCAGCCCAGAATGCAATTCTTCGGCGCTACTTCTTAGAACTGACACAAAGCTTCATCATTCCACTGGTAACAACCAATTACTTTATGTATGTGGTATCCTCCAATCAGATCCAAGAACTCTATAATGAATGCTGTGTTTTTTAGAGTTGAAGCTCTGAGTTTGAAAGATTTCACAGAAGTGGATTTAACTCTGATACATCAGGCTATGAAGCTGTAAATATGTGATTTTAATTTTATAAATGACAATAAGCATTTTAGGCTTCAACTAAAATGATTTGTTCGTGTGGTGCAGGAGCGGTACGTGGCCAGTCTGATGCCTCTCCAAAAGTCCATCAGTCCCTGGAAGAGTCCTCCTCAGCTACGACCGTTCATACAGCAGGACTTCATGAAGACACTGGAGAAAGCTGGACCTCAGCTTACGTCCAGACTGAAAGGAGACTGGATAGGACTCTACAGGTGCAGGCATAAGCCTTTATTAAAAAAAATATATCTGCAGGAGTTAATTTATCACATGGTAATCTGTATTTTTAAGCTCATAAGCCATAGAGGTTTTTACTGGGTTAAGTATGAATGGTTTGATTGTAACACAGACTGAAAGGATGTCAGTAGTGAATCACTGACATGTTGTCGGAATGCAGACTATCCTGAGTGTCATATGAACTCCTTTTTTCTTCTTCTTAAATTTAAAGGCATTTCCTCAAGTCTCCCAACTTTGACGGCTGGTTCCGCAACAGGAGGAAAGAGATGACACAGAAACTGGAAGCCCTGCACCTCGAAGCGCTGTGTGAGGAGGTGAGGAGGAGAAAGGCTTGGGGTGTATAAAGATCGGGCTGAGTCTGTCTGAAACATTATTTTAGTGTTTTATGCTTTTAAGTTAACTTCTGATTGGCTCATCAAGGTTTGAACAGCAGGTGGGTGGGACTTGAGGGACCATGAAAAGGCAATATCCAAAGCATCATACAGATTCAAGATTAAACTAACTGTGTTTAGAGTGGTCTGAGGTTTTGGCTCTCTGAACATAAAGTTCAGCATAATTATTAGTATTATTATTATTTTCTGTTTTTACATGGATGGGATGTTAGAAAGTAGTTAAGTGATGCCATTGGATGAAGCTCTGTATATCTTAATGACCATCAGTCAACATTGACTCAATTCAACAATATCAGTGTTGAATTGAGTCATAAAATGTAATGAGTAGCCTTGAATTGAGTCCCAGACACCTTTATCAATCTCCATGTCATTTGTTATTCTGCAGGATCTCCAGAAGAGAATCCAGAAGCACACAGAGGTGGAGACAGTCGATCTGGTCCTGAAGCTGAAAGACAAACTGGTCTGTAAAGATGATTCATGGTCTATAACTTTAACATTACTGCCTCTACTAAAACCTCCTGTACTTTTACTGCTAAACTACGGCTCTGCTACTAGCACAACAGCTAATAGTCCTGTAGCTTTTCTCTTTTCTTGCATAGTTAATAGATGGTGAGGTCAAAAAGTTCTGGGAATGGACCAATAAAAATCAAAACCAAAATGTGCCTGCATTATCTGTTCATTCTCAGTCAGCACACACTTGACATACACCCCAAACTAGGTTTTTTGTTTTACATTAAATATTCAGCGTAGTGTCAACATGCTGCACATCCACCATAATTACTGCACTGGCTACAGGTCTTCTGGCTGGGGTGTCATTTATTGGGAGGAGTTAAGTGATGCTAACATGGTGCTAAGTAAGCTAAACAAGCATGTGAATATCTGGGAGAAACTTCAGCTACTGTAAAACTGCACTGAATCTGAACCATAGGCAGCATGACCGGTTTATCTGTTGGATTAAAGTGTGTGCTAGTGTTTTATAAGGCAGTGAAGTGAGTGCGTAGCATAGAACTTTTTTTGTGTGTTGCATGGATGGGTGGATGGATGTATCATAACAAATGAAGAACTGACATCATTCACGATTACAAGCCTTTTTAAAAAGCCTAAAATAAATTTAGGAGGAGTGCCAAAGTCTTAAATCTAACTGGGCTTAAGCTGTGGGAACCCAGCTTCTTTCAGGTCTGGGAGCTGTGCAGTTTAAAACTGATTTTAAACATGACATTCAGGTTCGCTTGAAGCAGAAATTGATCTTTATTCTCTGTAAAGTTTGAGCTGTGTCTGAAATTGCAAAGCACACAGTACAAATGGTCAGAACAGGATGCAGGCACTGGAAGCTGCCTGAACACGCCCAGGAGGATGACAGGTTAAAGGTCATCTTCTTTCTCGGGCAGATGACCTTCAACTCAAGGTCCATCAAATTTAAAAAAAAAAAAAATTCTCCCTGCCTTGAATTCCTCCTACTTCTTTTACTGACACAGCATACATGGCTGTGCTTGTTAGTAATCCCTGCTGCTGCACCTGGTATCTTGCATCTGCTGCATCTTCAGCCTGTTGGATGAAGTGTTTTTGTCTCACTGTGCTCTTTGCTGCAGACTCAGGCGGAGAGGGAGAAGTTACCAGTGCGTCCCGGGACCTTGGAGAAGCTGAGAGCCCATATCGAGGGTGTCATCCTGACCTTACCAGAGGACCTGCAGGGCATCCTTCACAAGCCCACCACGCTCTGACCTCTAACCCTGCAGGCTGCAACACTAACCCCCAGTTAAAGCTTGTTTTAAAGTTTTGGGTGGGGGGGGGCTTGGTGGCTCTCCTCCCAGTCGGTTTCCAAGGTGAGGGTGATGTGGACCCTTTCACTCAGACTGGGTGCCAGTTTAAATCTGCTCGGGTCTAAGTTGGAAAGCACATACTTGGGTGCCAGCCCTCAATGAGTCAGACTAAACAGCATGTCAGTGATCATGTGGGTTTTTTTTTTTTTTTTTTTAAGATGACCAGACAAACCAGGATCGACCAGGAAGTGTTTAGAAAGTGCTACTTTTTTTTTTTTTATATCACTGCTACATTACTACATGAAGAAAGCCTGGAGGGCTCGATCCTAATAGCATTTTCTGAAAAGTCTGAGGCTGCGTGCGCAAGCAACAAGAAGATGACTTTTACTGACCTTTGACCCTGGACGTTTTTACCTCCTTAACATTTTTTTGTTTGTTTTTTTTAAAACTTTGATGGTGGGTCGCTGCAGTCTAACTGAACAAAATCTGGAAATGTAAAAAGTTTCCCAAAGAAGTGCACTTCATCCATAACAGGACCAGTGTGCCCTTCTCACACCTTTATGCAAACAAGCTGAGCCAAGCAGTGCTTTATAATGTGATGTTACTAAAACACACACACACAGCACTAACCACCAGCGACCCCTGCAATAACTCTCTGCAGGAGCCAGTCATCTTTTTTATCCATGTCACATGATCGTTACATGACCTATCAAAATGAAATTCAGAATGGTCTTTATATTTGTTTGTTTTGTTGTTGTTTGCTTTGTTTTGTTTTTTTAACATCTGAAGTTTTGTGTCACTCTTGTGTAAAATCATGTAGAATCTCCTCCGACAGGGGAGGAAAAGCCCGTATCCACCAAGAAAGAAAAATAGATCATTTGAAAAATACTTGCAGAAATGCAAATTTATAAGATATCTGTTTGGTTTTTTGTTTTGTTTTTTTAATTGAAAAGGAAAAAAATAAGTTTTTCATTTGAATGAATGAGAGGACACCAAAGCATAGCTAGGCCCCAAAGTTTGATTTCTAGAGATAATTATTGTTTTATGATAATCGGTAATAATGAGAGATTAACTTTGTTTGTGAACTTTCTTCTTTTCTCCTGATTAGTTTCTGTGTCACTATCACAATCAGGTAATTCCTGTATCTTATTGACTTCAATTTTAAAGGGTTCACAAAATTGTTCTTAGAAGTTATTTGGCCATTTTAACACTTTTACTTGAAGTATATTCTAATTTCTTATATTTAACTCTTTAAAAAAATTTAAATGGTAGAATGGACTTTTATTGTGAAAAACTTTCTTTCTTTCTGGAAAGAAAGGAAGGCTCTGGGTCATAAAAGTGGGGGATCACCACAGCAGTTGGCGCCACATGTTTGATTTGGCATTTTTAAAGCTGTTTCAATTCAGCACAATTCTTAAACGTTTGTTTCTCATCGCAGGATCAAACTGCGTATCCATTTCCGCTCGAGATCGTTCATAGAAAAATTAACTTTTTAAAAGCCAAAACAACTCTTTTAGGCAATTATTTTAATGCACTTTCAAGTCCTTGCTATGAACTGAAATAAACTGTCAGTTGTTTTGATTTTAAAAAGGTTTATTTTCTATATTTAGTTTTTTCCTGAAAATGATCATCAACTTGTATAAAGATAAATAGAAGCTGTTCTGTCTTATTCACCTGACAAAAACATTTTTGATTGTAGAGCAGTTTGAATGACACAAAGTCTGAGACTCAGTAGGAGTGGAGTGCCCCATGTGGGTTGGGAATAAGTTGCTACCTGAATTGGAGGGTTTTTGTGTGTTCTTGTTCAGGAGTGAGGGTGGAGTGGAAGCAGAGCTGGGCAAACAGATTTGTGTGGAGTCAGCTGTGGTACTGGGTGTTAAACTGAAGCTCCTTATCTACATTTCTACCCTCACTGTTGTGAGTACTGAGTGATGGCTGCAGATACAAGCTGTGAGCTTCCTCTGAACAAGCCTAAAACCCGGGAACAAACGTCAAAGTAGAGCAGCTCTTCTCTACATGGAAAGGAGGCAGTTGTGGTGGTTCATCGGTGTAAGATGCCTCCAGAGCACCTCCTAGATGAGGCGTCTTTGGCATGTCCTACTGGAAGGAGGTCTCAGTGCAAACCAGGACACGCTGGAGAGATTGTTTCTCAGCTGGCTTGTCAACACTTGTATCTCCCCAGAAGTGCTGGTGACAGGGAGTTTTAGATTACTCTGCTGAGGCTGCTGGCCCTGTGAACTGGTTCCAAAAAAGAGGCAGAAAATGGATAGGTGGCGGGGGAGGGGGTGGAGCTTTCAAAAATGGCACTGATGTGCTTTAAAATGTGTTCATTCTAATGACTAACAAACAATGAACTTTGTATGTATAATAGTGGTCATGGTTGCTCAGGATAATACACACATGCTGATTCTTCACATTATATTTAATTTTAGGAGGTTTAAATTCTTGTGAGACTTTTTGTTTGTTTGCTTGTTTTGCTTGAGACCTTTCAAAATGAGTTAAAGCTATCGAACACAAAAAGCACTCTGACTAAAGAGATCTCAACTGGCTGCCCTTTATGTAATACCACTTTGTATCACAAGATGGTGCAGTGAGTCAGTGTAACCTTTAGTCAACCTGGCAGATTATTTACAGCCCATATTTACAAAATGAAAAGCTTTGTGCAGAAATCGATATAAAGCTAAAAATTTATATTAAAAGTCAAGCTGCAACAAGAGCTCCTTCATAGGACACGATGATTAAACATGGAAATCAAGAAAGCCTGCTAAATGTTGAATTTTATGATTGCATCACTATGATCTGTGATATTTCAAAGATTTCTGTACATTTTCTAAAATGTAGAAGCAATAATGGTTTAACAACTCGGCAGTTTGTATTTTCAGAAAACAAACTGATATGTCTCGTTCTAATTTTTCTGAAAGAGATCACATACGTCGGCACATACAGTTGTTTTATGTTTGCGTTGTACATCATCGGAACATTGAATGGACTTGCAAGCTTGTGGATTTGTTTTCCTGCCATCATGTAACAGCTGTTTTATAAATGCTTTGAATTTTGCCTTTTTTTTTATTACGCAGACAACTGTAAAGACAAAAAAATGTACTGGTTGGATAAACCTGTGACATCTGGTTGTTGGGCAACCATGCAAATTTTATATATATAAAAAAAGTAATATTTTACAACTTTCAATGTTTTAATGGAGGGCTATTCTTATTCCACAGTGTAGCAGCTGAGGAGTTTTTTTGTACATAAAGCTGTAAAGTAAAATGTTCGCCCACATATGAGGATGTATGATAATTATTTTGCTATTCAAACAGATGTCTTTGCTAATTATTAACTATAGTGACACCACTGCAGCGATGAATAGCTTTTACGAGAATATTTACTCTGCCCTGGAGGCACAGGGACATCTTGAATTTGTAGATTTTTCTCCAAAAGAAACAAGTCTCTTACCAACAGAGGTGTGATAAGAGACTGGAACATCTGGAAGGTTCAAATCATGCCATCAAAAATCCCAAATATGTACAAATAAGGAGATGAAATCTAACAGAATTTATATGAAAAAGTAGCAATAATGACATTTGAAGTTATTTTGTAAATTTGCAAAAATTATAAGAAAGAAGTTGATTAAAATCAAAATAGTGCAGTGAGACGCTGAACTACAAACAGTTACACCATTATTTACAATATTATCATTTAGCATTATTAACATGATGTTTAATTTTTAAACATTGTGTTTATCGTCAGTACTTAAGTGTCGTGTAGGGTGACCAGATCCCAGTAAACTACGTTAAGATAAAAATGTTTAGTTTTAGGTCACATGTTTGACTTCGATCATGTGACATGTCATTTGAATGCATATCCCCTGATTTTGAGAAGCATAAATTGAAGCTGATGTTTATTTCTGTGATCTTGTCTCGCGTTTCCTTTTTTCTTGTGTTAAAACTGCTGTTCTGTCTGATAAGCAGAAAGGTTTTTAGACACGTTTCCTCTGAAACACGTGCTTACTTTAGTAAACTTTAACAAACTATGTGGAGACTGTCTCAAAATGTGGAAGAAGGGAGATGAAATTTAAATGACCTGGTCACCCTATTCTTAAGATACTCCTAGATATAATCTGCTTTTTTACAGCAGGTCTAAATCTGCTGCTTCTCTCTGTATGAGGTAAATGCAAGTTTCTGACAGACAGATGGTTAAAATAAAAATCTGTTTATGGCAAATAATTCTGGTTTGATGGAGGATGGATGTCTCAAACACCTGGTTAAGGTTAGACTTAAGCCTACAAATTCAAAATGTCTCAAAGCCATTGTTTTTAAATATGCATTTTTGCTCCATTGACTTTTTATTTTATGTTTTTAAATTGAAGCCATAACCACTACGCTCAACCGCTCTAACAGCCTGAAGCACTGCAGTTGTGATGATGAGACTCGTTATGATGAAAGTCATGCTGACCTACGTTTTTTAATATAAGCAAATGATTATTGAACTTGTTTGAGTGGCCTTCTTGCAGTGCATCTTTCACAACATTGTTTTTGCTTCTGGAACAGTATTACAGTGAAACAAAATTCATCCAGCAGCTGCTTTTGAATGTTTGTAAAGGTTGATGCAGATGACCGACGGCTGCTGCTAAAACTCATGCAGCATGTCGCAGTCTGATTAAATGTTTGAAAAGGCCGCTGTTTGGATGAGGTCAGAAGATTTTTCATGCTACATGTCTCGTTCAGTGGGGTCACTGACGTTAACTGGTGTGTTTTGTTTTGTGTCATTAAACTGACTTCTTAAAATGTAAAGGATCTCTTGCTTGTTTTCTGAGGAGCTTCTATCAAAGATTCTCCAGTGCTGTACGAGGGCAAGGATTTCTTTAGAGTCACGTTTTGGTCTTTAATGATCTGTAGGGGCCCAACACAGATGAAGATGAGTAAGATTGTCCTAATCAAACTGCAACAAAAAGCCCTGCTTCATATTAAAACTGTCTTCCTGCCATCTCCTGATTACGATCTGGATTACGTGATCAGTAGAAGGCCAAAAATGGACTACCAAAACTGGATCATTTTTTTTAGATTACACCTTCTGAACAACTGGACCCTGGGTGTAAACCCCCCTGCTGGCTCGGGTCTTTCTCTGAGGACTTTGTACTCTCTAAATACTCTGAATACTTCCACCCATACGTCAAATGCATGCATATTAAACTTAATCAGTGCTAGTTTCCCATCACTCACTGGGATGGGTTTCAGCCCCAAATTAGTTTTTCCACTAAAAATGTTAATACAACTAATAATCTCAAACAAAGTAAAACTTTTTTTGAAGTTTGTTAAAATTAATTTTCTTCTTTGTATTTTCTTGTAGACTTAAGCTTCAAAATGCCAAGTGTCTCAATGGATAAATTTCACAATAAATCAGATTCTGTCTACCACCTCTTTATTTTCTTTAACAAAACACAGATGTGAAAAAAAAACCCCACAGTGGATACAAATGAAAAGAATTAGCTTTTGAGATAGCATTAATAAAATCTGTGTCTCAAATGGAGTGCTTGTATACAGTACTGAGTACATGCAGTTCAACTACTTGGACAGTGTACCCATACCAGCTGCATACTTCTCATCCCTGGTGGTTGCCAATTTTCAGTCAGTATGATGAACACATGTTTACAGCCTTGTATGAATACCATTTGGTCTTTATTGATAGACAACTCCTTCATAATACCTGTAGCTCGTGACACGTGGACACTGCAGTGCTAACTCAGTGCGCTGAGTGAGGCCTCACTTCCACTAATTTAAGTCGCTGAGCTGGACTCTTTGCAGTTGGTTACTTTAGAGGAAGTTTAGCTTTTGGAGAATGGACAGAAAAGCGGGGGAAGACATGGAGCAAAAGCCTCATACTTATAATTTCAGATGATCGGTGTTAAAGAAGGAAAGAATCACTCTTTTTGCTTTTCTTTTTGTGCTGATGCCCCTGTTACGTCTTATAACACCTCGGTCTTTTGGTCCTCGCTCATTCCATCCTTCTCCATGCTGAAAAACTTCAGCTTGTCTTTCTTTGGTCCGTGCTTTCGCCCCACTTTTCTGATTGGCTCTTTGGCCTGCATACCATAGGAGTCCTCCATGACTACCCTTCCTCTGAGAGAGTATCTGATGTAGGACCAGGAGAGGACGGAGCCGCTGTAAGACCTAAAAAACACAGGAGCATTATTAGTTATTGTTATTACACAAGCATAAAAGGAAGTCCAACATAAATGGTGCTCGAGTTTCACTCAAAGACACATCAGCACACAAGTATAAATCCACACCACGAAGCAGCATTGGCTGATTTGATAAAGACTTATTACTGTTAAACCATTTGCAGTTTGTTATCTATCACAAATGCTCTGTGCCCACCTCTCCAGGGACACAGTACACCTGGGAAAGGTACACAACAATCACGCTGGACCAATGAACTGGACTTTGGACACCAAACTTGCTTGGGCAAGGTACAGATAATCAAGCGACATTACGCCCTAAGTTTGAATATGTTTATAAATGGATTCCCTGTTAGAGTACCCTCTGAGTTCAGCGTAAGTCGATATGCGTGCACACACACAGACACACACACAGGATCTTACCCATAATAACCTCTGTTCATGTAGTAGAAGATTTCTTTATAGCGGAGTGGATAGTCCCACATCTGGATGTCTGTCAGCTGACCATCAAAACCTGGGAAATCAATCACAGGCTCGCCTGACCACACATACTGAACACACACACAGGAGACAGACACAATAGAGACAATGAGAGAAATTAAAGATGATTACATAAAAATAAGTAAGGTGCCTAAGCATTTATATCTGCAATGAAGGATTTATCGTCTCATCATTTTAACAATTTGTTTCTTTGCATTTGTTCTTTCTTTGGTTCTTCTTTTCTGTCTGTTGTCATCTTTGATGATTCCCAGTTTGCACTGAGGTGATTTGCAACAGTGTGAAGCTACAG